CTCAAAACCAGGTCTCGAAACGCTGAATCGTCGTTTTAATTTTACGCGCCATGATTATTCAACGTGTATCGTAACTCGTATTAATTTTACAACGCTCACGTGTATCCGTTATAACGAATTGTCTCGCGTAACTGGAAACAGAGTGCAAGTACATTTAATTATAGCTAACTAATATTATCGTACGACGAATGGAAAACGGCATTTCGCGACGACGGGTTCTAATTCGTGACACTCGGTCGCATGAATTATGCTAACGAAGGACGAAAACGTATGGTAGAAGTTCTCGTGAAATCTCGATGACATTGGGAGCAACAGCCTTGTTCCGGTTTCGACTCGACTTGTCAAGCATTCGGAAACGTTGCAAAATATATGAGTAATAGAACGCAGTCATGGCAGCCATAGCAATCTGGAAGAGGTGTCGTCTCGCTTAATAACATTTCCACTATTTAGATTGTCGTAACTGACAAAAGCTGGAACAAGAAACCGGTATAACTGTTCATCAGCGGATGGAAATGGACGTGGAAACGTGTTTTATTAACTGGAAGCACGGCATAATTTTGAAGCTTGAAACTCGGGAAACCTGAAATAATCACCTGAAATTTGTGTCGCAACACGATTCGCAGACATTTGCATACTCGAAGGCAAAATAATAATCTGGCTGTTGAAAAAATTCGTTACCGCGTGAGAAAGTATTAGGTCATTTCACGAGTCTTTGGGTATTTAACACATTCAATGTTGTGACGGTCACTGGTGACCATTGCACAGTTTAATTTTTCAGTTAAAAATGCACGTACCAAACATTTATATTGCCCATTTCCTTTCTCGTATTTGATTAAGCAGAACATGCTAAATAATTTCTTATGAATAACTATGAAAATTCATGGTAGGATTTCTTTCGATGTTGTATCAAAAGGAGTACAAAAGAGACATTTGACATAGTCTCTGTCAAAAAATTATCGAATGCCTAAAGAAAATATTATAAATGTAGATTCTAATGTAAATAAATAGAATTTCAATCTTTCACACTATCTTTCCCTGTATAGTACATGAATACAATTGAATCAATTACACTCGAAGACCTAAAAAAATGTCTTGATAATCGTAACAGAGAAACGATAAATGGCGAACATATCGTAGGACAGTTGAAAAATAGACAAAAATTTTTAAAAGAACGTCGGATTTTTTTTTTAGAGAATTTTTGTGCCAAACGCGGTTCGGGTTCTAGAATCATCGGTTTGGGAGTTCCTCCATAGTTTCAGGCATGATAGACAATCAAATTAATAGGAAAATTCCTGGAGAGCTAGGTTCCATTAGAGGAATAGTCCTCCTGCAAGGATCGATTAACCGTACTGGACAAACTCACCTAATTTCTCAGGCTCGTCGCGAACACCGCCGCGCCGACCAACCTCGTTCCAACGATTTACAACTGTTCCAAACTCCAGCTAGACCGGTTCTTATTGGTTTCTGGTCCGCAGCTCCAGGGCTGCATCAGCACTGAGTCATTAACGGAACCCTTGAGGGTGCATACACGTCTTGGAGAGCTTTCTCTCCGCCGAGCCTCTCGAGACGCATCTTAATTTTTAATAAAAACTAGTTAATTATTAAAGTACTGCGCAAAGACTTTGCATGGAACAGAGTTTCTCAAACTTTTTTAATCACGGGACACTTCTCATCTCACAATATACTTATAGGACACATTGTATCATGACCATTTGATTTTAAAAATGGAAAATTCATAATTCCTGTTTGGAGTGAATTTTATCTTTGGAAATATGGAAGTGCGGAAGCATACGTATAAAATGAAAAAATCCATAGAAAATTTAAATTATATACAGGGTGTTGGGCCACCCAATATAATAGAATTTTTAACATCGAATAATATATTCAACTATACGCCTATTACTAGTCAGTATTTTTTTGGTAAATGATAATTACATTTAAAAAATGAAAGAATTTTTTATATTTGCAGTAATTTTCGAAAAACGAAAGTAACTTTAAACTATTTACCATTGTATGGTACACACTTTTTACAGAAGGTACGTGAAACGAGTTACGTGGATACAGTTCATGTTCTCCTTTATAAACGTGATTTTTGTTTTTCGAGCTTATTTAAAAGTTTAACATATTATACGTGGTCGAGTATATTAATCGATGAGCTATATTAATGCGTCGATAAAAATTCCAATTCATACTATATTTATTTATATCTTCCATTGGATTTGTGCTTTTGGTTTTCTACAAGTCTCATTCTACGAAGTTTTTGTTAAAATTTTACGTTTCTAAATCATATACGAACCCAATTATCAGTTTTCGAATCACATAATTTTTTATTGTTTCATTTGAGGCATATTAGTTTAACATTTTCGCAGTTTCGTTGTGCAACCATCAACGAGTAATTTGGCTTTAAACGTCAGAGATCAATTAAAACCTTTTGGCTAATTTCCAGCACACGAGGTAAACCTCCTCCGTATAAAACGATATTCAATAAAAATAGTAACAGCACCGTGGCGACACGATTAAATATATCTCGTCGACCTTCCACTTTTCCCTGGAAACGAGTAACAAGAATTTGCTATGAAACCAGATAGCAACGCCGATGGATGAATCATTTGGAGTAACCACGATCGTAGCCACAGTTCGTACTAAATCATTATGCATAGTTTCACGAAATTTGCGGAAGTTCGTAAACCAGTTTCACGAAGCATTTCTGCTGAGTTGCAAAAACACGCTCTTAACTTTAGGTTACATTTCATTACGACCCTCCTCGCCGAATAATTCCCTTCGATCGATCCAATCAGGCCTACGACAAGCTGCCTCGTCTACACTTTCACAGAATTGTCCTAAAATTGTGACTCTTACTAATTAACCTTGTGGTGCTCAATTTAAACAAATTTTATTTCAATTCTGTTTATTTAAAAATACATCGTTTCAGAAATACAGGAAAAATACTAAAAATAAATCATTTTTAATTATTTAAGCTTTTAAAAATTCAAGTAAAATATTATTAACTCATTTTTAATTTAATTGAATTAATACTTGCTATTTTGGGTAGGAATCTATTTTAAGATATCTAATATCTTAGGTAGCGAATTTTATTTGTATTTGCTTAGAATGGTCTTAAACTATACTGCTAAGAAAGCATATAAACACAGGTTCGCAAATTCTTCTTCTTTGAGTTATTGCCCAATGAAATTGCACATTGCATGAACTTCAGTGCAGTCATGTGTTACGTCGTCAACAAATTTTATTGTTCTTATCATGTTTTGGTATCCTCTATCTAAGAAACGTCAACTTTTACAAGATTGATAGTTTATTCGAACACTAGAATCTTTCTGCTAATGTAAACTTTCATCCATAAATTACAGAACGCTCAATAAATTAACATTACGAAATGAAACAAACGTTCATTCAGTTTTACATTGTAGAAAAAATATAAATTATATCACACATCAAAAATTTTGTTCTAAGATAAATGAATAATCTTGTCAATCTATTTGTTTCACTCTGTCGAGTAATATAAAAGTTTTATATCGTGAATTTTTTAAATTATTTCTGGTGTATCGATCTCAGAAACGTTTATACTCGTTCGACCACATTGAAAATCACCAAACCACTTATTAATCATTCCGATCGAAAATATAGACTCGTTATAATATTTATCAAGTTTGGCTTCGATTTTCAACGCCATTTCGTCTCTCGACGAACAATGTTTTATTGATACGCGAGATTCGTTTCCCTTCATTTCGCTATTCATCAAAGCTATTCATCGATCGATTTAAATGGCAATCAACGTCCGACTAATTAACCTTGAATTTAATATGCGACACTCTGTCGGTTTGCACACAGTAATACACCAACGATTCCGTGGCAATAGTATCACATTTTGCACCAACTTATCGAACAGCTCTCCATAAGATACAGTAATATTGTTTTAGTTAATTTTAAAGACAAACTTCGAGATTTTACACAATATCTATTTGTTTCAAATTTGTATAAATTGAAAATTTTAGAAAACCCCTGAACCGACAAATTTTGTTTTAAATAAATTACAAATTTTATTCTTCAATTTCAAAACATCGAACGTCACGAACTTGACGATCTAATACTTAAAATTATTTCTCGGCAGTTCTAATTACGTCACATCGAACTCTTAAAGCGTGCAATATTTTCTGGGACAACCTAATGAAACTGTCAATGATACCGCGTGGTTGCTTCCGTCAGTCGATTCAGCCGTGTTCTCGGATCGATGATCGGGCCTGTTCTAAGAGGGTGGACCGTGGTGAATGAACGACAAGCGCGTATCCGTTTCGAAGAGGCTCGTCGAAAAGACGGGGCGAACGAAAGACGGAAGTGTCGTGGATCCGGAGCAGCGGATCGGGGAATGAACGAATGAAAGAAAAACTCGTAGAACGGGGAGGACAAAGGGCAAAGTAACCGCTGGGGTAAACGTCGAGGAAAGCGTGCGCGCGGGGTGAACCGAGGCCTACAACAGGGGACGCCCTGGACGGTGGTGTCGACGATGTCGGCGTGAGCGTCGTTCGCGGCGGTCGATGCCACCAGATGCCACTGTGGCGCTGCCGTCGCTCGAAAATAAGCTCGCCCAAAAGCTCCGCCGACTGCAGTAGCCCGGCATCCGTCGGCGCCGCGGCCAGGACGAAAATTTTCCCGCGGTAGATCCCACCGTGCGCGAATCGCTCGATGGAGGACTGAATGCGCCCCGACGGACATCGGAACGTTGAACGACGTCTCGCCGAAGGAATTAAAAATAAGTTACAAACAGAAACCAGTCGAGGATGTGGCGGCGGCCGTTGCGCTCGGACTGAAGGGGGTTTCGAGTCGTTTGACGGAACGGCGGGTGTCGATCGAGGCGCGGTGGGTTAGCGAGATCGCGAGACAAATGTGCACGGTGGACAGTGTGACATAGTGCGGCGAAGTAGGAGACGAAGAGAACGGGGAGGGAGGAGGAAAAGGGCCAGCGAGGAACGCGGGAAGAGGAGGAGGTGGGACAGGATGCGGGGGCACAGGAAGAGGGCGCAGAGCCCCGACGATTTCTCTTCTTCTTCATAGGGGGTACCCTTCCGTTCCTATATCACGGAATCGAGCTTTCTAGAGATCCAGGACGCGCCTTTCGAACCTTCGTGGCCCCCTGATCGAATCGTCCTCCGATCTTTCAAACTCTCACGGAGCTCTAAAGATTGCCCCTGAGTGGAGTTCACGAAGCGAGTAATCGTCAGGTCATGTGATCGAAACGCTGACCCAGGTCAAAGTAACCTCGTTGAAAAATTCTGACCACCGAATCTATAATAAATTCGATGCAGGGGCAATCTATCCAGCTCCCCCAGGTGTATCTGTTCGATCTATAGAAGAATTGCTCTGCCATTCCGACAGATTCTTCGAAAATTGTTGGCCCAGTTTCAGATGGCAGCATCCATCGAGCGAGATGTTGCTTAAATTTTCCGGAGGAAGAGGTCCTCCGGATGAAAGAGGCGTCTCGGCGGAAGCGTCGCGAGACACCCGCGAGACGGTTTTAATCCCCCCGAAACGCGACTCTGATTTTGAATCCCCGGGGTTCGCGTCGGACGTCAACTGCGTTTCGTCGGTGCCTTTGGGGGAGTCCCTTTCATATGTTAACCGAAGACACCGACGTCGCGGGTAAATTGCAAAGTGTAAGGCACGTCCGTGCATATACTAATTGCTGATTAACGAGGCAGACTTGGCTGCTCCCATTCGCGAGCCCCTGACGCAGCTCCTTCCGTAGATTGGATACTTCGTTCGGCATGGACGCGGCCGGCGTAATCAACGCGGACACTTAACTCGAGGCGTGTTGATTCACGTCGAGTGGTTGCCGCAAATGCAAAACCCCTTTGTCGCAAAGGGATTGTGCTGCGGGACAATTTGATCTTTCGGGAACGAGCTTCTCTCGCTCGAACTCCTTGAATTCCTTGAGAGGTTAAAATAGCGAACGGGAAGGGAGCAGACGTTCGATCGAACGGAAATTAAGTTAGAAAACCAAGATAAATAAAAAGCAAGCCAGTAAGAGCATAATATCATTTATTATAAACGTATCGATCTTAGAAGTCGGTCTTCTCGAGCGTGAACGATCGTTCATCTCGAGGAAAAATTTTAGTTGTGTCGAAGAGCATCACCTGAGGTCGAAACGTTTATTAGAAATAGGAACGTGATTGTACCGACTACCTTCTTATTTAATTGGATCGAAGATTTTTGTATTAGGTCGACAAGGTTACTGTCGAAAGGGCTCGTTCGGAATCGATTAATGGAGCGACGTTGCAGCTGGCACAACACGATTTAGCTTGGACGGTTCGAGTTTTAGTGGCCCCGCGTAAATTGAAATTCGATTCAGGATAAGACGTTCCGGGGGTGATAGATTGGGTTCAGTTTCCGCATTTTTCGGTCGAACATCAATCCGTGTCACGCTTATGAGAATCGTATTTAACCTGGTCGGTGCTGTGGACGTTTATAAGTGTCCCGGTCTATTGGTGCATTGCGAGCGGTAAACGCCTACCGGCGTTCGGAGAATGTGTCTAAGAAAATATGCGAATTATGATATTATGGAATACCCGTATGAATATAGGAATCGATAGATAACGTAGAATCTTCGATTACTGAATAGACCAACCTTTTCGTTCCTTAATTACTTGATAAATTCTTGGTTTAGTATTAAAAGCAATGATGAATGCAGTGGAATTTTTTATTCATGTAGATCGTTTATCCAGGTTATTGTAGAATAATTTCATAAATAACAAATAGGCTTACAATAAAAGTGGAAAAGTATTAGTAATAAGTAGAAAATCTTCGCTTCAAGGATATCTTCGATTCAAGGATGTCTTCGCTTCTTACTAATTTAATTTTCTACTTAATATATACACATATACTAATTTAATTATCTAAATACCAGTAGCATAATATATACTGTGTGTCTCATGAATTCTGCCCATTTAAATATCTTCAAAATTGATGATGGTTTTGAGGGGTGCATAATCTGCTGTAATTTTTGTAAAAGAACTAATAGGATTTCGGCATCAGTGAGTAAATATTCTTCTACAAGAAAAAACAAATTAAATTAGTATGAAGAAAAAGGCAGATCTATGGGTTACTATTAAGAGGAACTAGTGTTCATAATATACAGATATTCGATATTAAAATATTACAGTTGTTAATAATACTTTTTCCACTTCTGTGATATACACTTATCATTCGATTTATTTATAGATTTATTATAACTTTCTTCTATCATACTCATTTATTATTGGTCTTAATACGAACCAAATTACGCATATGTATATACATATTTATTTTTTAAGTTATTGCTTTTGAAGATGTAAATATAATTCGTCCACGACCTTCCATGAAGTTTCGTTTATTAAAATCTTAAAAGATCTAAAGAATACAGGTAAAATGATACGTCCCAGATAAATTGCAGTAACTTTGGTCGTGTCGTTAAAAAATCGTGTGCTTTGACATTCCACAGCGAAAGGCCATTCCTGTCCTCGTTGCAAACGGTCGTATTTTTTTTTATCGGCATCTTCAAACGATTTGGTTTCCAGCACTATTCTTCTATATTACTTGCCTGATTCTCCGATAAATGTTCATGAGAAAGAACACACGTAGTTCGTCGCAAAGGCAGCGCTACTTTCTTTCAAACCAGCGTTTAAAGTGTTTAATGGTTGCTACCCTTGTTTAGATCAATATCTTCTTCTTCATAAGTAATCCGGTTTGCAACCCCTATTAGTAGTTGCTTCACAACAGAATCACTGTAGAAGCCTTTTAACGAAAAATCGCAGGCTCTGATTACTGTTCAATTAATTCTTTCCTGTTAATGGGTGTCACTCATAATGATCGTAATTCTATATGGTTGCAAACTTTTTCAAACACGAGGAAACTTTTTTTGCTGCGAACATCGTATTTTTTTTTTATTCCGCACAGAATGTACAAAAATGATGTATCACGACCATCAGCGTGATTCTACACCTTTGGATCGATGGAGATTGTTAAAAATATGAACCACAAAATTGACCTTGACCGGCTTTTCAAGATCAAAGTTTTCTTTATTGCATCGTATTCCGTTGATCGAGAGGATAAAAAGTGTCAAAGAAACCATAAATAGTAACTCAATCGTTGTCTCGAAAAACAATGTTAAAGTTTCGATAAGTTTTAAACTTTATTATAAACGTTTTATATTGAAAGTATTTCATATTTTTCAAATAACATGTTTTGATAAAGCAGCGAAAAATTCTTTAGTTATCAGCAAGCAATATAGACGACAATATTTTTCCTGTCTGCATTCAAAAATTTAATTATTTCTAATAGTTCCTCATAACCAAAATGATTCAAAATAATATTGTTTTACTATATACAAAATAATAAATTAATTATTAATAATTAATACTAATGGTTTATTAATTGAAAATATTTTGAGAGTGACTGTTATTTTGTACGTCTGATTAAAACATAGTACACAGAATTCTAGATTACGGACTTTTACTTTGCAAAGCTATTGTTTACTATTTACATGGTGTTTATCCGAAGGAAAGACAATGTTCCAAGTGTTTAAACAATTCATAGTTTCATCGCCAAGGCAATAAACTTAGCAGTTATAAGACATTTCTATGCCAAATTTTAGGCTAAAGGGTAGTTGCTAGAAAAGATCCGTGTGTAGCTAGGATTCCTTTGCCGTGAAATAGTCAGCGCACAAAGGAGACAAAAATGTAAAATGACAAAGTATACCGGTGAGGATGATTTCACACAAAACGCTCCTTTGAGCCCTGTGTGTAGCATCAGCTTGTTCTGACGTAACTTCCAGGCACGGTGCACGCCGAGTCAATAAAGAAGAATAGCACTTTGTGGTCATGAAATCCAGTTTCTTTGCATTTAAGCGGAAAATGCAAGTCAAACAGAAAGGAATGCACTTTGTGAGAATATACCTTACATTCCCAGCTCTTCGTACGATATACAACGATCTTGTGTTCTCTTTAAACATGCAGTTAGAAACAAATTTTACTTGCCCTACGAAATACGATCAGGAAATGGTGGGGATAACTTGATGTCATTTAAGTGGGCAAACTTGGTGTCATATAAGCGGACACTATTGCATATACCATGTTATTTTTCTTTTCAAACTGTTACTTGTAGTATACAGGGTGTTTGGCAACCTCTGGAAAACATTTTAATGAGAGATTCTAGAAACTAAAATAAGACAAAAATCAAAAATACCAATTTACTTAACTTAATTTATTACTTACTGACGTATCGACAGCCTTACAGTTTCGCCGTTCTACAGGCGGCACTTTAAGCATTAATAACTTTTTAACGAAGCCTCAATCAACAAATTACTATTCTAGATTTTCGTCTTATTTTGGTCTCTAAAATCTCCCATTAAAATTTTTCCGTGAGTTGGTCGAACACCCTGTATAAACAAGGGGAATCAAAGTATATTGTAGCATATTTCTAAGAAAATAATTATCTCGAAGAAAACTTACAAGAATTGAAAATTGAGAATCAGCTTCGCCATGAAAGAAGCACACATTTTTCTAAAATAGAGAACACCAGTCGCCAGATTCGGAAGCGAAGCTTTACAGCGAATCGCGCGACAAATTAGTTTGATGGTGTTTGAAAGCTCGTGGTCGCGCAGGAGAGAAAAGTTTCCCAGGCGTTTTGCTTTCCGCGGTAATTAAGCGACGCTTAGATCAAGTAAGTACGATTACCCAATTTTGCTGGCTGAAACCCTCGTGGTCGGCGAAGTATAGCTTTTTTTTCAAGGCTTCAATTACGCGCGCATTCACGCGATTCGTACGTATAATTATCATCGTAAAAGGTGGAGCGTAATTCCGTAGAGTGTAGTTTCCCCCCTGCAAGGAAGAAGTGGGTGAACGGAAACCCGCCGTTGGAAGATACTCGGGTACGCCGGAGCTTGGGACCAAGTTTTATCTCGACGAAGCTGGCGCTACGTAAATCAGGGCAATCCAATAAAACAAATCCGCAGTTTACGGCCTAAAGTGCACGGAAACGTTGAGTGTAGTTAGAGTTACGTTCGTAAATGGTAGGGGTGGAGGAAAGGAGGGCGGACGGGGACAGCGTTCGGTGGTCGTTCGCGTTTCCTCGTCGGATGTATTAAAAGGAGCTTGCGCGACGCGTTATTGAAAGCTTTAAGGGCGGGCTGTGCCCGCGGGAGGCTCGTGATACGCGAGTCGCTCGGAATCCAATAAAAGAGGGGTGGGGGGCAAGGAGGGCGACGGTATTTCGTGATTCCGGGAATATGCAAACCTCAAAACGCGAGTCGCGTTCGTTTCCCCGCTGAAAGCTAAAAGTGTCCAAGGAATGGAGTTTCTCAGCCACCAGGAAGCAAAGAAACTCGGAAACGTGTGATTAGTGTAGGAAATGTGAATTCGAAGTCCGTGTCGATATAGGTGAATTGCTCGAATTCGGTCGCTGATCTTGTTGATTCTACATTTACAGAAATATAGACGTAATATATGACGATTCCAGAAACTGGGACGATCCAGTTTGTCGATAACATAATTTTTTTTTTTTGTTCAACTTGTTTTTTAATTTACACAGAGTTTTTTATGTTTTTATTTTTACACAAAGTGTTACTAACCATTGTTCTGCGTATAAAAGCGTCGTGGTATGGTCAGTGAAGAACGTAGAGGCAATAGTTTACGAGATACCATTCTAAGAATCGTCGAATCTTATCTCTGTTAGGTTCCATTGCATGGCAGACGAAAATAAGAAACACTCACAGTGAGTGAAATAGAAAGAAATGTTCAACGTTTGTTTATTCTAAATATTCTAAAACTGCATGATTTTTGTATGGTGGCCCAACCTAAAAATAGCGAAGGTTCACCAGCCAATCGTCAATCTATTTTTTCGTATCGCATTTTTAATTGCTTTCCATCTTTTTAGTGAGTTCAACGTCTGGTTCTTATGCATTTCTTCTTTGTTTTTAATGACTAGGCTTGCAACGTTTATTGGCGGGAATGATTTCGCGAATAATATCGGGGGACTATTGTAGTTCGTGTTTTATATTAGGATATCACTTTAGTCCAGCATGCGTTCAAATGTTGATAAATATAAATTTTTTGTATATATATATACAGATATTAGGAATAATCAATTTAAGGATCAGGTTAGTGAACTGTTTGGAATTGTTGAAACACTTTCTCAAAAACTTAAAGTGTTTGTGGTAAAATATTCATCCCCATCTGGGTTAAATTCGTGATCATTATATCCCAATAACTAGCCAATCAATCGACTTTAAATTTACAAATAAATTAATCATTCAGTTTTTGTTTAAATTTGAATTATCTTAATATTTTAAAGCTTCAGTTTTACAATTCAAAAAGAGTATAAAATTTGTAGTAAAACTCGTGTACTTTCTTCAAATTACTACCATTTTTGCCATTTTGGTGTAACATAATTTCTTCCAGATTAAATAAGAACAATATTCTGTTTCTATTTAAAGTCGAGAGGCAATCGTGTTAGCCATGCTCGATGACATTTTCGGTGTGACACAGTGACATTATTAACAACTCGTTTATTATTGGAATATGTTACTTGAAATAAATTTATCTCGATAAATACACACTAGTACTTTTAAATAGTCTTATCACATACTAATTAGAAATTGTAGTAAGATGAAACTGCTAGTAAATGTTTTGAAAAGTTTCTTTATTGAACTTAGTAAATGCATATTACTTCATATGACAACAATTTTCAAATATCGTGACTCAAATATAGATTCAACCTTCTCATTAAATTTAATAATTCAATTTTGATTATAACTTTTATTTTTAACAGATGAAATTAATTGAATCTGAATTCATTTTATTATTCTTTCTTTTATTGCCCATAAGTTAAAGCTTGGGAGATACCTCCTATTTAATCTACCATAAGGCTTATAGCAAGGGGGAAAAGAGATTTGAATGGGTTGTGAAGAGGAAAGGGAAAGGAATAAGTAAAGTTTCTGCATTTTACGACGAACATTTTCTGGTCAAAAATGTTTTCATGTATACAAATAGACATTGCCTACAAAGTGGCCCTTCATTTGATCACATTTTGAAAAAAATTGAAAACTATTGTTCTTAACCAATAAATTCTCCAGCTTCTCAGTGAACAAGAATTGAATTTTAGTTCTAAAACTAATCAGTTTTATTACTTTACAATTTTACTAAGAACAAAGATATATAATTATTTTTTTAGATAACTTAATAGGTAGAGGTATAGATGTCATATTATAATAAAATTAAACTATCAGATAAAGCGTAATTTTCTCTGCTTAACAAATTTTTTAAATTTATACTTTATTTAATGATTCTGTGTAAAAAAATAATGCTTCCTATACAATCGAATGAAAATTAATGTTACATTAAAACTCGTCCAGCTATTTTTATTTGTAAAACTTGAACATTAATTTAAAAATACCATACTGGTACGTTTCTTTACAGTGGAAATAATAATATTTGTTATTTTTCATTCAATAATAGGCTTTCTCCAGATTGTAATCTTTCATTAATTATACATGACTGAATAGAATTATTGGAAAATAGAATGACAAGCACGTAACATGCGTATCGCGTCAATGCCCTACATTGTTATGATAATTTCTTACGCCTAATACTACGAAATTGCCGCGTGTCGCTTCAATGAATGGGGGGATAGCTCCGTGAGACGTAATCCGAGATGCGAATAGCGGGGGTTTGTCTTCTTTACGGGATAATAAAGGGTAAGATATTGCCATGCCGCGTTCCAAATCGATAGTAGAACGATCGGAAATATTGGAAAGCCTGATGAAACGCATCACAGCGTGTGTTTACGTTTATTTAGATTTTACTTTAGCGTCCGCAATTCTTCAATGGTTCACTTAAGTTGTATTTATTAGCATTTAAAGAACAAAATATATTGTAGCTTTAGGAGGCAAGTAGAAAGTGAAAGTTATATAATAGTGAATGAGAAGTTTGCAAACACAAGAATGCCAAAAATAAATGGACAACATGCTGGAATGTGAAATAATGGAATTTAGATTTGGATCAAAATGGACACAGTTATGGCTTATCGTCCATGAGTCAGAGTTTCTAGAAAAATTCTTTACGTTTGCCGGTGGAAACGAATTTCCTACTGAAATATACCCGTGAAACGTTAAAGCGTATCAGAAGATCCTGAAAGTGTAATCGATATTGCCCCGTGAATCGCTCGGCGTTCGTAGAAATTTATTGAATCTCGGTACAGAAAGCTCAGTTTTCCTGAAACAATGCTGACATCGTTGCGATAAATATAGTAGAAGACTCGAACACTGACGGAGCACGGAATCGTAGCGTAAAATTACTTTGGTATCCTCTCGATGTCCCACGAGATGCCTCAACTCAAACACGAGATCGGTAAACTTCAAAGATTTCAAAAACGAAAAACACATTTACTTTTACATTTATTTATTATTGGGATTCTGACACCTTCGATGAATTTTAACGAAAGCAATTTTCAAAACAATGCATACAAACAATGTATGACACCCACAACTAACATTCTACTGTAACTCAAGAAATTCTGCTAATATTAAGTTTCTTGAAATCTATCGAGTTTGTCTTCAGATGTTCAATTAGTTTTGACAAAATTTCGATTGGAAGTTAATAGTACTCGATATAGATCTTTAACTTTGGGTAGAATACTGTAACATCCAATCGAAATTTTGTCAAAACTAATTGGAAATGTGAAATATCTTGTTAGTATGAATATATTACTCGACAAGATTTTTAGTTTTAGATTCGCCAGGTACAGAATCTTTCCTTGTACTATTTTGATGGTAACTCAAGGCGTAACTCGTTCGATTAGATAGCTTTGATATTCATGAAGGCAGAGTATGATGTTCGATCGTTTCAGTCAGTTCTTCAATAAACATTTTCCGTCTTACTGAGATGCAGAGATTTCATCTGGTACTAGCTTGACCTAGCACATTCGATCGAGTAGGTCCACATTCGTTAAAACGCTTCCAGACACGAGTGATAGGTAGACTTTCCTGATACTGTCTTAACCTAACTCTAGACCTAACTTATTTAATGGAGTAGCTTGTAGATTCACGAGGCCACGCAATATTCGATCGCTGAAGTCAGCTGGCGATCAAACGCTGTCACGCAGAGTTTTCTTACACTATCATGACATAAATAAAGGTGTAACTTGTTCGATCTGGAATTCTCAAACACCAGTAAAGATATCGACTTTATTACTTGTTCAATTGAGTGATCCAGTAACAAGTTCTTTGGGGGTGATTGATCAGAGAAAAAAGAGGCCCCTAGATTTGTGAATAGTACTATATAATGTAAATATGTTTATAAAGTTTGCTAAAATATAATTTTCTTGAAAAGATACCACGACAAGATATAATATTCGATCCGTCATAAATTCCTATTATTTTAAGATGTTTAAACCACGTTCGTTCGTGACCCCTTGAACCTGGTTTCTTCCAATTTCCGTCGCGAATAAATGAATAAAGTTCGAAGGGGCGTCCAAAGGGAGAAAGCTCGATTTCCTTGAGACGCGATGAAAAAGCAAAAGGTGTGCTGTGAAACAAGAGATAAATCCGCAGATCGTTTCGTCTCATCGACGTCGAACGTGACGACGGGCAGCGAGCACGCCGAGGACGACGACGACGTCAATTGGGTGCATCATTGAAACGAGCACTGCCGTTTGTTCTCCAAGATGGCGGACGAAAAGGAGAAGCAGACGTTCCTGCAGAAGCTGCTGTTCTACACGACCGCGTTCTTCATCCTCCTCAGCACCTTCAGCCTCTTTGCCTTCCTCTTCTTGGTCCCCTTCGTCATCGACCCCGCCTTCACCACCATCTTCATGCAGTTCGACACTCGGCCAGCCGAGTGTATCACCATCGACGTTGAGTCCAGGAGAGGTGAACAATCGGTCCCTTCCTCAAACCATGTTTCGTTCAATCGGTGTCGCTTTCTTTGTGTCGTTGCATGCGACCTCACGGAATCCCTCTCTTAGAGGCCACTTTTCTCTCCTTCTTCCGGGTGATTAGATACCTTGAGCGATCCACGGATGCGATTTGGACACGTTGGGAGCCGTTTCATCCTGTTGGATCTCGTTTACGAATCGTTGAGTCGATGGTCATCGCATCATACACAGTTCTTTATACGACTTTGTTTGACGAATAATTAATATCTATTCGAATCGTCTGAAAATTCAATAATTTCCTTTTTAATCGAGCCGTACAATTTTCATTAATTTTATGTAACGTCTTAGAATGTGTTTAAGTGAAAATTAATTCTCCAACACCGATTAGTTTTTGTGTTAAATCTGTAATTTGGACAAAAATGCATGGATATCGAATGTCCAACAAAATAATGAAAATTTCGAGAATTTGTAGTAAAAAAGACGAACGTTACCTTGAGGTTTTCAAATATGATTATTTTGAACACGGACTATTTTCATGATTTGTATTATATTTGTAGCATTTTCATTAATTAAACACACTGGATGCCTATAAATTTTTGTTGGTAACTTTCTTGTTAGAATTTTTTGAGATTAAATATTTACGTTTCAACAAATTTCTATTTATTCAAATATTCCATTAAAGTAATGAAACGTCCATCGACTCTTCCATCGTAGGCGTACTTTGTCTATTTGCGTAAATAATTTCTTCGTCGTCTGTTTGATACACTCCTTGCCCTCGAACCTTCTGATCTTACCAGAGCAACGTCTCTGATAGTAAGTATCGTGTTCTTCTCTGTACTTGTTACTCTTCCTATCTGTTTGCACTTCCTCGATAATTCTCGTGTATGTACGCCGTTATGTGATCTTCGTGTGTGTGTCCATGATTCATGTTGTACCTGTGTGTTTGATGTACGTCGAAGACTGAATATTATAGAATACATTGCAAGGGAAATGCACGGATCTCTTTCAAAAGAATTATACGGTGAAACTCGCGTTTTGAGGAATCTCGTACCTTACATTTCACATTTCGCAGAGAAATACATACTCGCAATTAATAATTTCTAATTTCCAATATACAATAATTTCCAGGAAAAGAAATAATTCGATGACCGTACAATGTGTATAATGTACGTATAATGTGTTTGGTAGGATCGATCTAGTTTATTTTTAATTAAACTAAGCATTAAATTTAATTGCATACAAAATTTGTGTTCAATTGTGCTAAGACTAAAACAAGTAAATTTTTTAAAATTGATTTTCTCGAGAAAGAAGCCTCGCACGATGGAATGTCATTCGACATTTTCGATTTACTTTTGCTCGAAGAATCGCCCATTTCGCGGATATTTCATCAATTTGGTCGTATCCTGTATACGTACACAAATTTAGTATACCACGGAAGGTGGGATACACGTAGAAGGAACGGCGAAGTACATAAATCGATTCGTTCCAATTTACGAAATAGGGTCACAGCCGGAATATACGATTTGCATGAATGATTGAGAAAACTATTTCCAGTTATCGAGAGGATGTAACGAAGGCTGTTTTGATGGACAGCCGTTCGGTGACTCGCATAACGAATTTCGTATTCTATATCCGACCGCGGACACGAAGGCAATGACATTCAATTCAATATTTACCGGACGATCCCGGATTCGCGGCCGAAAGATCCGTGTCCTCCGTTAATTATTTAAAAAGGGTAGGAATACATATCATCCCCGCTGAACGTGACATTTTGCGAAACGGCGTCAGTGACGTACGAATTAAATTTGTTTTGTCGGCCGAGTGCGATTCGTTTTACCAATTTCGATCCGCAAAACCACGTGCACGTAGCGCGCGATCAACTTGTTCAGGCAGAAACAAAACTTCGCGTCAGCTTTTAATAACGAATATTGCCACTCGAATCGTAAAAATCAGGGAATAACTGGAACATCGAGAATCATCAATAAATGTTCATTCTATTATTAAAGGTTACGTACTTTTGGCTTACATTGATTTTTTTGAAACATATATTTGTAAAGTAAACACATTAATAGAGAAAAGCTCAGAGTAGTAGGTTCTATTTTATTTTTTAAACTTCTATTTAACAGATTTGACAAGTGTTATGACTGGATAAAATTGGATAAGAAAATTGTCATCTTGACCTAGCATCTCTTTGCTAAATTAAGTAAAATGTGAACTAAATTCCATTTTTGAACAAAACAAATAACATTTCTTCAAACAGTAAATATTTTATTAGTTACTTAATGTCGTAAATTTGTAGTTCTTATTCTAAAGATTGATGTTATTCGTCTTTAAATGTATATGATTTATTATTTGGTAGATTCTTTAGTAGAACTCCATCATTCCACTTGGTCCGTTAAATCGTGGTTCTATCGTATATATTATCATCGCGTGACAGCAACGAATAGTGTTGATAGTGATACCTGTAGCTGTATTTTTTAAAAGTATGAATCAAACAACACAATTACCATTTCTAACTGCCTTTAAACGCTAATTATTACCTATTGCTTTCCCCCAGTTTATTTTTCAATACATCTGATTCATACCACCCAACTGCCAGATTTCGTCACTGAACTTTTGACCCAAATATATATGTATAGTACCTGTGTATACAGATACTCCTACTCATGTTCGTATATTATAATAGTGATTCATTATAAATGAAAAAAACCTTTGTTTTCTTATGAATTCTTTCCATTTATTTTTACCAAATGTTTTTAATTGCACTGTGTTACTTCTATTTACAAAGTAGTTTCAGATTAGTAATGCCCAATTACAAAACCGATAGAGAGGTATAATATAAACGGTGTACAATATTTCCAACGTGGCATGACCGTTTCCTAGTTACCTTTTTAATTTTTTCTAATACAAACCTTGGAATATCAATGTATGAAAAAATGGACGAGTTTCAAAAACAACGACTCAATTCATAAGAAACAAGTTTCTTTTCATTCACAGTGAATCACCATTATAATATATGAATATATGTGACAGTAACTGTATATGAATGAAAAGCGCAGAAATGTTCCGTGGCGCTTTAGAGAACACGCGACTCTAGTTTTGCAAAAATCGATCTCCATATACGCGAAACACAGAATCATGGAAATAATGTTTTAATTTCTCCAGTCGTGTTTATTTTTTTCGAAGTCGAGAAATCATTAAGCTATAGAGCCTATTCGAGTTTTGTGTGCGCACGTCCTCCTCTTATTCGTCGAAATCTCTGCTCATACGAACATAAAACACTATGTGCTCGCGACAGCGTTAATAAGTGGTTGTCAAAGCGCTTGTTTGTGCAACTCGAATATCTACGGTTCCACCATTACGACTGTTCGTTTCGTTGGTAAACGTTTGGCGTTTCAATTTAGGCGATATTACTTTGATTCGATATTACTTTCATCGCTGTTTACTTAGGATAAAGCATCCATCATATTTATCCGCGTAGACCCCGTAGCCACGACACTTTATCGATTTTGTTGTTGGGATACCCACGTAATTTAAATAAAAAAGAGAGAAAAGGATCGAGTGTATACAAAGTCGGAGCAACGTGTGTGTAACATCGATTTTATGCAAATAAAATATGGAACGGTGACGGGACGTTTCATCGCGAAAATTACGATTGCGTGTTGCGTAATCGAGGAAAACGAACGAGACGAATTAATTACGTTAGTTTAGTCGAAAAAAGAAATATCAATTTAACGTTTCGTTTCTATTTTTTCGCTTCGATTTCGATTCCAGGGATATTTGCGCCAAATTCGAGGGGTGTTAATTTTAATTGTAACGGGATTTAATTAGCGGTGACGCAACGCAGAAAGGAGATCGATAGAGCGGGAAGGTTTTCTCGTACGCGAAACGTTTACGTCGCCTATGACAGGCCAACCAGGCGTACTTTCAGCTCGTCAATCAATTTTTCGAATGCCCCGATACCCAACAGTCATAATATTTGGCGCCAAATGTCTCTGTCCACATCTTCGAAATTACATTTACTCGAAAATTGCATTTGCCAGTCGTTGCTGAACGCGAAGCATTCGATACTCGATTACGAGATTCATTGGAACGAAAAATAAAGCATAAACGGAAAGATTTGTACATAAATTACATCACAATTGTCAGTAATCTGGAATATATTTCGTTTTAAAAAATGCAACATTAGTTTACATTATAGAAATTTTTTCCTTTTTGATGAGCCTTAATTTCAGTAATAGTGAACAAATTTAATTTTTTAAATTACTCGATGCTTGCAATATTAAATTCTATGGAGTTGGATGTGATCGTAACGAACCATTCATTAGTCACATTTAATGTTGTAATATAAAATATAAAATATTAACAGATCAAAATAACGTGGTAAGGTGTTGGAAAACGTACATAAAAGCAAAATCCATGATCTCTGTAATCTCGTGTGAATTACGCTTTTGTATCTTCCAGTTGATCGCATTACTACTTAACTGCACACTACAGATACTTTTTTATTTTACATTTCGACCTACCCGATTATTGCTTTGTTCCTTTGCGTACATAGCAAAAATTTCAGTTTAAATATTCGTTACATAGACACATACATTCTTGTATAAAAAGATTATTCCTATTTCTCCTAATCGAAAGTAAAATTTTGCTAATTCAGTATACATTTATACCTTTTTCACGGTCTCAATCAATTATCTTATCAACTATACATCCTTTCAACGAGGTAGTTAGTTTGGAATCTAACAAAGTATATCAGAATATTAATAATTTCTTCTCTTCTCTTTCTTTTACCGAACAATCTTTGTGCTTTAAAACTAGAAAAACCTGTATCCTTCTTCTAAACAATCGTTTGTTATTTATGAGCCGCGCTATCGATTATCATTGGTAACGCATGACTGTAGAAGACGTTTAAATATTTAATAACTATGAAACACGCGATCGATTATCGCCACGTTGCTACGATATCATCGCAAATGTTTTCTGATGTTTCGTTCCTGATACAATACGTACGTGAACAAACCACGCAGAACATTATCGGTATGTTTGGAGGATCAACACTTACGAGCATAATACACCAAACATACAGAAACAGACGACGTCCACCGTATATTTATTTCGCAGAGAATTTTATTTCTCGTTAAAAATCGGTCACATCGGAAATATCCGAGCGTATCGGGGTTTCACTGTCCTACATACATATTTTTATGCACGTCAACGTTAAAAATAATATCATTGATCATGCATCGATACAAATGTATCTATTAAAATTTCCATTTGTTTTACATATAACAAATGCAAAAATAAAATACCAAACAATTCTATCAATAAAAATAGTACAATCTGAATTTAACGTGCACAGAAAAATCTGCATTATTCGTAAATAAAATTTACCCAACTCTAATTATACAATATCGTGTATCCAAGTCAGTGTTAATATTTTCGAAAATTCTCCAAAGAGTATCCAGTTTCGCTCCTTATTTCCCGAGACGATCGTGGATCTTTTTGAACCGATTTCTCGTAAATTTCTTGCTCGATATAAATTTTTAAAAATTATTCTCGACGCACCCGTCGCGAGATTACTTTAGCGGTCCGTTCTCCGGGGATCGATAGAAATCATCGCGATAAGGAACGATGCCGTAAATTGGACGCGTCGCCTAGAACCACGGCAAACGACGACGTTATCGATATATCGATGTAATAGAGCCACTAAAGAGCCACTAGACGGAGACGGGCTAAGATCGGCGCAACTGGTGTCTTTGTATTCACGGTATTCGAGCTGGTCTCGAGCGATCCAAACGTATTCCTGCTCCCTGTGCAACCCCTCCGTTCTTTCGTCACCATCGTGCTTACACTTCAAGTCCTCTGTCGAACGCCAGCGGCTGTAGGGTGCTGGTATTCTCCGCGATAGAGTACTCAGACATCTACTTGTCGCTACACGTGTGTGCACACGTCCGATGACACACGGTTTCTTTCTCAATCATTCGAACGATAGCACGGCTTAATTTCACGCGTGTCGTGCACGGTATTGTGCGAATTAATGGGAACGAACGGATTGTTTGAAATATTTACGGGTGGCTGCATGTTCGTCATCGCTTTAGAGCAATACTTTACCGGGTACTAGAACGGATGACAAATAGAGCGAAATATAAACAGTTATAGAAGCATCTAGGTCGAGAATTGGAAAATGTTTGACCTAATGGCGAAGCAATTTTTCAACTGTCACGCATCAAAGTTTATACAGTGGTATTTTATGCGGTCATTACTACACTCGAGAAAATTTAAAATTTTGCACAAATTGAGTGCGACCTAATCACATTGCTGTTTTGAATTTTAACCTAAAAACGGTTTTAAGGGTGTTTTTACCCCTTTCATGTGTTTGATATCTCTGAAACTATAAGAGATATTAGAAAAATGAAATATTGAGTTTTATAATCTCTTATGCTCTATTACACATGACTGTAATAAAAAATTCCAAAAGAATTTTTTTCTGATACATCTCCCCCATCACATAGTCAATTTCTGAACATTGTATATTTAATAATAATAAGATAGAAAAATTTTCTCAAACTATTTATAATCATTTGTATGAATTGACTGTTAAATGAACTGCGAAATGTGAAATGAAATTTATTGTTCGAGTTCTCTTGTACTTATATCCAGACAAGGAAATAGTCACGTATTTTTCTCTTGCATGCGACCTCGAAAATATTTAAAATTCGTAGAAAAGTTGGAATAAGTCCAACAGTTGCAATAACAGCTAACCTCGAGAACAAACTAAATGATAAAGTTTGCGAGATATAGGTCTGGGAAACACGTGGTTAAGTTTCTTCGTTTGAATTGATCGAAAATTTATTTTAATACTAAGTGCTTACATTGGTAATTTATTTGGATCTTTACAATTCATTATTATAAATTCCTGAATGGTTCGAAGAATAATCATAAAATCTGGTGTTGGTTGCATGTAGTCTTTCTTAATGTATATATACTGAATTTATAATTAATACCTCGAAACTTGTGTGTGAATGTTGAGTGGCGGTGTTCCGAATCGATCCCTGTTGATTATTGTTGGTGTTCGTAATCTATTAATTGTCGTGGTTGTCATTCCTCTTTCTGTACCACCCTTCTGCACTTTCGATCATTTCTGAAATTTCTGCTAATTATATTCGTCTGGTTCCAATTTGACGTCGATGTGTAGCACGCAATTTTCGTGTTAACACTTATATGGCTCTTGTACAACTTTACACGTATCTATGCACATACATTAAGCCTTTGAATACGCAGTTACTTTGTTCGTTGCTATAATTCACGCGAATGCAAAATATAAATTAAGTAGACAATTTGCAATTCCTTCGGTGTGTCGAAAGAACTAGAAACATAATTAAAAATGTTATTTAAATAATTACAAAAGCGATTCAAGCATTTCATATGTCTATAAAAATTATCAATTCCATTGTTTAATTTTTCTGTTTTTAACGAAATTATTTTGAATATTTTGTTATACAAACTGCTACTTCGAAGGTTTAATTTTCAAATGTGTGTCACTTCATGGTGATGTTATTCGTCCAGTAAACAATTTTCACTGCAATCGAGCGGAAATAATTGTTGCGAGTGCAATTATTCGTTGTTTGATGTTTCGTAGTAGGATTTTAACGGGAACAGGATTTTGGAGACCGAATACAGAGGAAAGAAGATGCACGAGGATAGACTGTGTACACTGCCACGTGGAATGTGTCAGCAAGCTAAGCTTAATTAATTATTTGAATTATTATCCATGATGCAGTGACGCTGCAATAATTAATATTTACACGGAATTTCACTATCTGATTTAAAATTCCTAAGTTCAAGGCCATATTGTGGTATACAATCATCATTTTACTTCTTTTTTATCATTTTTAAATTATTAAAGTTCTTCCAATTCTCTGTTTCTGTGCAAGAAAAAGATTATTTTTCAAAGACATTCACATGTGAAATAACAAAAAGAATTTCTAGTAATGTTAATAAATTATAAGATTCCTCGTAGCAGTCACACGGGATGATACTATAAAATATAACTTCGATAATGAATTAAAAATGAAAGAAGCAGAAATAATAAAAGAAAATTCATGCAAACTGCTATCCTATATTTAGTTTCGAGTTATTTGCAAACCGTGTGTTCAAAAAAACATCGTATATCCTGAAAACAAATCGATAGAACAGATAACGGTTTACAGTAGTTCTTTCTTTCATTATTTTAAGGTCACATTTTATGAGTTGTCTTATATGTTCTTCCGAGCCATTAGTTACTACGAGAGTAATTAGCGAACGGATCCTAACAATTTGCATCCTAAAATGGAGACCCGGGAGATTGGACGTTATCCAAAAGTGTGACCCGGTATGTCAACTACATCGCTGTTGGAGCTTTCCTCCGTTAAAGTTTAGAGGAGGAAGGCGAGGTCAGGGCAAGGATTTCGTAACCTGCCTCAGGGACCACGTTCAAAACTTTGTTACAGTTTTCTTGTTTTCGGGAATCTCGAGGAAGTCACTCGTGCATTCTTCTTCTCTCAACTTTGCCTCTGTGTCTAGCGCGTAACTACTAAACGATTTACGTGCACAGTTCTCGAGATCGTGACACCTTCTTCGCGCGTTGATGCACGTCGAAAAATCACTTGCTCTTCATAGATCGACGAACAATTACAATCATTATACCGTTGCTTTCGAAATATTCTTTGTGGCGTATCGCAGTTACGAGTTTTAACATATGACACGACTGGTGTAAACTGGTGTAGACTGGTGTAGAATTGTTTGAAATGAATGAAAACTCGAACTGATATTGTCTTATCGGTGACGCTAATTTTACTCTGTGCTCGTATCAACGTATAGATTAACGATTCACAAAATTTACGAAGCTCTGGTTCAAGCATTTAGAATTCTACACCGTTAGAGACACGTTCCAACGAAATGTTACAGTGATCTTTCACCGTTGAGTATAAGATACAATTTTCATGAAGACGTTCCAACATCTCGGATCAAACAGTTCTAGTCCTCTCTTCTGTAACAATATTCGAGTACTTCTCGAGTTCCACGGATTGTTATCGTCTTCGAGCGACGCTCCAAACGATCATCGATCTAAAACACGTTCGAACATTAGTCGTCGCCGTAGTTTTTCGATGTGCATCGATCTCTGTCGTGATAGTCACCCGGAATCTTCGTTTGTCTTCCCGTAAATCTCGTCGTTAACGAATTTCTTCGATCACGAAGTCCATGAACGATCCGTTGAGTCCAGGTACGAGCAACTGTTCATGGACATCCTGTAGAGAGGGTTGCACCAAGGAGCTGTACGATTGCACGCAAATACGCGTCAACTACAAGCTACCGACTAACACGTCCGAGGATATCGATGGACAGGGCGAGGGAGGCGGGGCGGTAGGAGGTGTCGAGGATGACGAAGACAGCACGACGATGGGCAAACCGCGTTACGAACGCTCCCTCAGGGAGTACGATTACGACGAAGACCTTGACGATGACTTCGCCGAGGACGACGAAGCTGGACTGCTGAAACCCTTCCCTACAGGTATAGGGCAACGTCCTACGGTGTCGTATCTGGTGTTCTCTTCTCCACAACGTACATTCAGAGACTATGAAATTCATTTGGATTTCAACCGAGTTCAACGACGGAGACCAAATCGACGAAAATAAGTATTTTCGAAACCCGATTCTTTTCTCTGTCGATTTATGCTCGAACACACAACTGCTCGGAAGTGGTTTTCGCAATTCAGGGAGGGGCGACTCGATATCTCGCAGACACTCGGCGTTCCGGTCGATCCGACTAGGCGAGAAAAGGCGAAGAAAAGAAAGCGTCGACTTGGCACTCCGGCTGTCGCACGATGAAATTCAGTTGAAATTCAAACGAATCTCAACGTTTCTAAATGTAAATTGCAGAGATCTACAATAATCTTTACTTTCAAAGTCTTCGGATGAAAAGGAAACAGTAAAGTTACAGACCTGCGTCTCTATCGAGTTGTAAATATCGATTCTAGTTTGACGTAGTTTTTAAGCATCGACGAATTGCTCACGGAAACGTGTCGCGACAGATTCGAAGGGAAACCACAACCGAGCGACCGCGACGAGTGGGCGGTAACCGCGTCGCGCGTCCCGCTAACGAAAGAGCAAAATTCATCGTCGTTTGAACCGTCAAACTCAAACAAACCCGGGCCCGAGCGTACTCTGGGCTAGAGACGCTCTAACAATGTCCACTTTCCCTCGTATGGAAATCTGTCCGCGGACGTGTGCCGCGGCTGGACGATAACGAGGCGAAGTTCGCAGGTCTCATGGGCAACGACTCCGAGTGGTACTTCACCGGGGCGAAGCTGTTCCCCAACGTAAAAGGCTGTGGATACCCTCCAATGCTGAATTGCAGTATTTTCTACCGGCAGTACGCCAACATAGGGCAGAACTTTAGCTGTTACTACTCGAAAGTGGATCCCGGGATAGTCATCAGCGACCTCGACATGTGGCAGGTCTCAGAGCTTTTCTATCTTCTCTCTATGTGTCTGCTTTACACTCTGTTGCTGTGCGTGAAGCCTTGTACTCGGCCACACGAGGTGCTCGCGTGTATAATTCAGTTGGCTTTATTCTGCCCTTCGCATCATTTCCCCCCAGGGTAATCCTTTTTTTTCTTGCATTTAAGGGGCTATTGCTGTCTAGACTGTCACATTTTCGGTTCGTTTCATGGCTTTTTTTTCAATGATAGGAAGGCTATTTTGCAACGAAATTATCCAGATAGGTTTATCTTATAAGCGTGTACAGTATTTTTTTCGTTCATGAACATTGAAAAATGGGGTTGTTATAACTTCTTGTTTAATGGCTCTTCTAAAACAGATGCTCCATCGGCTTCTACGATTTCAGCCAATTCACAATGTAACGAGTATATACAGAACAAAAATAAAAAATCAATTTTTGTCTAGTTTGAGATAAATAAGAACCTGGATGAAAATGCTTCTTCTTTCTATATTCGTATTAATGTTAGTAATCTAAAAATAAATTATCTCAAGAAAGAGTACCTACTCAGGGGCTGATGAAATTTATAGCAATTTTAAGTGCATAAGAACTAATTTTAAACCAAAAACAAAAGAATAGGTAATGTTTCGATTTTTTTGTAATCTTCACTGTAATTTGGTAAATTTTAATTACTAAAATTAAAGCAGAACACTTTAAATTATTTTCAAAAAGAGGAAGAAAACTTGTACATACAACAAACATATACTTATACAAAACAAATTAAATTAAATATACAAAAATATAATGGTTTTCTATACATATTTTTCAAGTCACATGCTTTAAGGAAATGAAATAAAAAAAAAATAGGTTTCTTCAAAATTCTAGACAGCAATACTCCCTTAATTCGATCAATCAGTGAAATATGACACAAACGCAGCTTCTAACTAAAACACTCTATCCAAAATGTATCGAGCTCTGCCTTAACACATTGACTGCTACATCACCCACATACAGATGGTATGATTTTCCTCTAAGGAGCTAAAAAAATGAATTCTCAAGATTGGATATTACAGAAAATAAATCTAGATAAGACTCTTGAATTTTAACGAGGCTGTATAAAATTATTTTTAGTATGCTAGCTTCCAATTGTCTAGAAACAAGATTTCGTTTTCGTGGACAATTTCAGGAGTTTGGTCTGGCAGTCAACGTGTTAATTCGCCGATTTCTTGACGGGGTTCATCCATTGAGGAACCGTAGAAAAATACTAGTGTTTACAGCTTTTAATTTGTTGAGATGGTTATTTCATATTTACGATCTTATTTCCCGAATCTCGATTTCATTTCAACGACACGACTTCATCTTTCCTAAAAGTAGCGAAATATGTGTTGAGAGTCTCAACCTTCAACTACCAAAACATATTTAATTTTCGATTATTCTAAACTATTAAACATTTTTTGTTCTGAGAAGGAGTTTAAATACAAAGCTGAAAATATTTATCAATAAGAAATACAAATATTATTAATGGATTGGCGTGATTCAGACTTCGGTTTACACACAATTAAGACCAATCTGAATAAAACCAAAAAAAATGGAATGCAAAATATAAAAACGTAAAATTTCATTGGAACCAGTCACTAAACTCGATGGTCTTGTTGCATTAAAGGGAAAAGAACAGTGGCAGGGATGGCGTCACACGCTAGTACCGGGGAATGATTCGGTCTTGAAGCGAGGGACTACTGTATGTGGAATATCTCAAGGATTAGAAAACAGTATCTATACAAATCAAAGAACACAAGAATTATTGAGCACTTTTGAGTTGACAACTTTCATTAACACGAAGAGTGAATAAAAATTTTAGATTCACTTTTAAACTTTTGCTTACCTGAATTATAATTTACGAATGAATTTGAAATCTGTGAATAAAATCTGCCCAACTCGAATCAGTAACGAAATATAGAAATGGTTATAACTTGGTAATATGGACAAATAAAGTACATATTTGTTCAAACTTTTTCCATTGTTTCTATGTCGACTGTCTATCATTGAAGTAGGTACCGATGTATCGACAACGCGAAAAATGGACGTTTCAAGGCTGGTTACATCGGTGGAGAGATAATGGTCGATAAACGACACCGCGAAATCGGCTTTACAGCAATCGACAAGGATTAAAATCGAATCTCTCCGCACTGACGTGTCCTTTTGCTATCGAGTGTAACCGGGTTACCGCGTTCTAGACGCCGTCGATTTACGCCTGGCGTTTCTACGTACAAGTCACGCGAAAGTGGTCTCCGCGTGTGTGACTTCTGTGCGAGTTTACTGTCGACAGGAACGTCGGAACACGAATCGATACTGCAGGTGCCTATTGAGGCCAGAGTGCATTATGCAGCCAAAAGCGTCCCCTCCGTAAATGGTTAAGTACGTAACAGTGCTCATTATTAACGGAGATCCGTATCTGCTTTAATTGGGACACAAAGACTGCCAGTCGCGAGCTCGAGTAATTGACGGAGATTGCGTTGCATGCTTGAATGGGAAGAAAGAACGACGATGCAGGTAGACAATTGCGAGCCTTTTCAAGTCCCGCGAAGTTATTACGGAAAGCATGGACGAAATGCGAAGAGAGTAAACAAGAAACTGAGGAATACAGTTGCACAGAGTTATTCATTTTTTCTCGAATATTCAAAACATGGAGAAAAAAAAATATTTGACTCGATTAACCATTTCGAGACTATTAGAACACATACGTCCCAGTAGATGCTGTCAATCTACTATTTCTTTTTTTTGAAACATCTTTTTTGCTATTATATTCAGGGTGTTTGGCCACCTTACAGAACAATTTTTAATAAGACGTAAATCAAGAATACCAATTTGTTGATTGAGGCTGTGCATCGACATGAATAGATACATCGTCTGAACTATTAGAAAAGTACAATACCTCTTTTATTTTCTTTAAATAAAGACCGTCTCGAAAGTGTTAAGGACTAAGTCTAATTTCTCTGAAGTTGCTTCGAATTATGATAAACAATTTTGGGTATTACGATTTGCTTATGTCAGGTGTTTTTCTCCTTTGATTATTATAATAACTAGAAAGAAATTTAGCTTGATCTGTTCGAACTTGATTTAAACAAAATTACAGTTAAAATTATATTTTAGTCAATCTCATTCGAGCAAATTGAAAAAATATTATCAATCATATTTTAACTAAATAAAAATAAAAACGAAATGTATGCAGAGTGAACAAAATAATGTTCTCCACCTTAGCACAAAAACGAGATTAAATTACTTCAAATATCTCTTACATAAAGTATCAATTTTTACACTGTTTTCAATGCCAGAGTTAAATTATATCTTAAAAAGTAAAGTGAGGAAAGAAATAATAATGGCACATAATAACAAATAATTTTCAAGTATTATATTAATTGGAGAAGGCAGTGAAATTCACGGTTTCGTCGATCGAGCCACGCCGACGAGGCAGTCGTGATAAAATTTTAGGACGATGAAATTAATCCCGCTAATTGTAAACCGCGACGATGCATATTGAAACGAGCGACGCGAAAAGAAACCGCGCGCCGAAAGGGGCGTGAATGGAAACAGCGATCCAGTAGCATCTCGGCGTGGAAAACGATTTTCCGGCGGCGTGGGTGCAAGGCACAGTGGAATTCCGTTACGTTTACGGAAACGTGGCCGCCTGCACGGTGACGAACAATGCATTTCAAGCGGGCTGTATGAGCGCCCCGATGACAAAGACGGAAACCATCGTGCCCGATGAAACTCGTGCCTCTGTCCGGAAGAAAAGAAAATTTCTCACTCCCACGCTTTCCACCCTGGAATTGAATCCGCGCGAGCCCGACGAGCCATTATAAAACGACGATAGCATCGCGGATCTGCCGGAAAAGCTTGTCACTCCGAGTGCTACGTGTGTCAATTTCCGAAATTAACGACACCCTCGAGGTGTACCGTAATATCCCGACGCCACCAACGAAATATCATGTCAGAAATAGGATGTATTTTAAAAAATAGTTTCGTCGAGAGTATAACTTTTTTTCAATCGGGGATTCTACGATTTAATTATTTCATACAAACGAGGTCGTCGGCTCTCATTCTCATTACACTTAATTATTCGATGTTAATTGAGTCAAATTTTATCCTTCGGATGGTTGTGCTTCAACTGAAATCGAGATTTTGGGAAATTTGCAATTCTATTTTTTTTAAGCAAGATTGATAATAATATAATAATTAATCTTGTTAAGAAAAGAAATTGAAAAAATTTCCACAACTAAATTTGACGTGACAAAGAATTGTTAGTCGTATAGGCTCTGATGGAATTGTTTTATTGCACGGATGTACCAGACTAGAGAGTTTCTTCAGTGTTGTCTACCTACTTCTTTCAAAATTACCCTTGTTGCAGGTATACAGTGCTGTGAATAATTATAAACTCGTCCACGTTTCTATATCTCTCATAGCAATGAATCAAAAGTTGGAGACACCGTTTGTGTGATTTGGAGAAATGATAAACAAAAGTTTCTCACGAAATTGTATTTTAAAATGCTTCACAAATCTTTGAAAAATATCTTTTACGAGCTTGTAATACTGTGTTTAAAACAAAGTTGACCTCTACATCTTCTCTACGTCTCCATTTATACCACATTATGTACTTTCTTAAACTCTACAATTTCTGTAAGTAACATTTTCTCGCATTCTTTGAAATAATCAAGATATATAAATGAACAGAGCTCGAGGGACACGTTGTATACTCTATTAGTCTTGTTTTACATTATCGAGCAGGTACTGTGCGTCCACGAGAAGTTGACTAGCGAAAGGAATGCGGGTCTGATTGGTTCCCCACTCTAGTTTAAAGTTCGATGAGCCACAGTCGCTATTGGCCGAAAGTGGGGATAGGTGGAGCAAGCAAGGTACTCCCCTATACCCTGTGCCATCCCACTAGCCAACTTCTCGCAAACACACAGTACATACAAATGAAAACAAACAGCCGTTCGTGTACAAAATTTCTTATTATCCAACCGTAAATCTTGGCATGATTGATTCTTGAAAATGTCGATGAGAAGAAGCAGAAAAAACTGTTGGAGAGTTTATAATTATTCGCAAGTACGTGACTCTGCGCAATTTCGACGAGGGTCGAATTTGAGGCTCCCCTTATGAGAATCGTGACTAAAGGCAACGTTCACTGTTTTACACTGATACATTGATCAGCGTCCGTGATGAAACGTGCGACGTGTTCCCCTCAGGTGTACATGAATCTGGTGTACGCGATGGCGATTCCGATACCGTCTTTCATAATCTCGGTGATATACCTCACCATCGCCTACTTCAAGATCTACAACGAAGAGGAGAAGGTCCTCGTGATTGGCGAGGAGGGCAAGGACGGCATAGACGGGGATCGTAGTAACGCGACACCCTCGCCACAGACGAGCGGCGCACTTACGGCCCGTAGCGAAGCTTTCAGGGAAGACCTAGTGAATCCAAGCTTCGGGCATCAGCTGAAAGTCGCCATGGTCGACGACGTGAGCAGAGAAAGCCTGGATGGGATACCCAACTCGTTCTCTATTCAGGGGTAAGCGTCAACTCTGAAGGTTTTTCACTCTTCCTTTATCGTTCCCTTTCGTTTACGTGCCTGGAGAATATGTGTCTTGTTTGCCAAACGCATGCATTCTACGATACGTATGATAAGTGACTCCGTTACTGACCGGACCCTTCATTAACGGCCTTTTATTTACTATGTTTTGTTTAACCCTTTGAGCGCTAGCGATGCATACATGCGTCCTACGTTGTGACTTACTACAATACAATTATCAGCGTTTTAAAAATAAATTTTATTATTCGAGTTAAATTACGTTTCAAATTTTGAAAAAATAACAGGAAGAATACGTCCTGCAAAAGCTGTGAATGTTATACTTGACTAAATTATTTCTTTTCTTTTGCTAGTATATTTCTAAGTATCCAACACATAAATTATGACTTGATCGTTTGCATAAAAGTTGACCAATTTATCAAAATTATAATAAATAATTATAATGATAATGAAAATGAGAGATTGAAGAAAAGAAGAAAACAATATCAGAAAAAGATAGTAGTTTAATATTAAAATATAGAATTTAAAATACAGAATTTTACAAAATATAATAAACAGTAAAATGTACAATTTTCATGAAATATTAACAATATTTGCTTATTATATTACTAAATGCAAATTTATCAAAAATTTATTCCATGCACATATTGTTGCAATAAATAATCGAGATGGTCAGTAAATGATGCAAGCCGGTTAATAAAGGGGACACGAAATCGAATACAATATTCAGTACAATTTTCGTATAAACAGCCAAATAACACTTCAGAGCTAATTTAGCTATAAAACTAAATTTAAAATTAAAAATTAATTTAGTTATAAAACTTCAGACACATTGAAGTATCTAGTTTTATAACTAAATAGTTATTAATTTTAAACAATCAATATTCTTATGCGTCCAATAATGGGGGCATGTATTTACCTTACTTTAATCAAGTGGTTTTCAAACTATAGTGAAGAGCATAACTGATAGTTATTAGTTTTAAGTTTACACAACAAGTAAACATAACAGAAACTTTCAGGACGAATGAAGGTATCATTAACAACTTTTTAAAGTTGTAAACAATATTTTCTTTTGCCCTCAATAAGAAAGATTCGTTGCTGCAGTTTTGCATCATCCTCTTAGCAATAAAATTTTTTTATTATATAACCTGCTAGTATTTCGTCCACAATTCTTTAGCACTTAGAACTTCTGCAATGCATTTTGGCACTATGTACAATATTTTTGTCTGATATTGAACAAACAATGAAAAGGTGTTTCATCATCTGCTGGGGTTATTTTACACATATTGAAGGCATTAAGTAGGTACTAAATTCGTTATGAAGAAGGAGAAAATGTCGTACTTCGACAAAATGGTAATTCTAGACACACAGCTGAATCAGTAGAAAAAACTGGCTAACGAGTCAGAGTTTTTCTTCGATGGAACAGCTAGCTCGGAGTCCGAATTCAAACCCGATTGAGAACTTCTGATCGGGTTTAAAAGAGGAGACTAGCGAAAAACGAAACTCGGTCATCGGGCATTCACGAATAGCAGATTAGCATATAGCACGAATGGTACAACATCGAACCAGAAATTGTCCATAGGTTAATAGAAAGTGTGCCAAGTAAATTAAAAGTAGTAGCAGACGATAAGGAAAAATAGACTACGTATTGGTTTTAAAACTGTAAACGTTGTACCACGTACCTGTTTTCTCTAGCTACTTTGCATATCATTGATATAAATAAAAATTAAGTTTTTTCTATATTACTCCCTTCATTTCTGAGTTCAAAGAATTGACAACGTTATTTGACACAAAAATAAACGAACGAATTCTCTAATTTACGCGAATTTTGTGTTCAAAAATAATGTCAAGAAACATTTTCTTGCTTTCGATTCACGTTCAGATCGGTAAACAAGTTCCGGAAGTGTTCGAGGTATCTATCACATCCTTGCAGTATGCATTTCGCGTATCGGATGCAGAGAAGCAATTTATCGCAATGGGAGTTTATTTTAGTCCACTTTACACTGTGAACTGCATTTTGCATATTGGATACTGGAAACCAGGTGCTTCCCTCGTTACAGGTAATAATGTTACACCGGGGCTAATGGCAAGCTGAGGCTCAATCGAGCGAAAATAAGCGTGGTTAATGGGACACTTGGGTGGCTTTGAGTGTTTCGCCTTGGCAACTGGAGAACCCCGTTGTTTCACCGCGGGGCTTCCGGTCAATCTGTCGGCGGAACAACGGGAATTTAAAAGAATCGTTAATTCTGGCGCTGTGTAATCGCTCGAGTCGTTTTCTCGGCGATCGATCCGTTTCGAAAAGCGAAAACAATCCTTCGCGGACTCGTCGCGAATTTGTTAAACCTTCCGAAGAACGTGGCTACAAGTTCTTTTAGGACAAAGAAACTGTGAAGTTCTTACGTAACAGCTTCAAAAAACTTCTTCGCGATTAACAGAAATATATATACAGGTAACAAAAGATACCCATCTCAACAATTACTTTTCTTTTTCATTTATTACGATGTTCTCATTTGAACTAAAATTAGGACAGTCGGAGCATTAGTTTTTATCCAATTTTTATGAAAGATTGGTAGACTGGAGGACAGTCATTGGACGGATATTATGCAGCATCTAAGAGTCTCGTATAAGGCTTGAAGAAGAAGCATAAGTGTGGGTTTAGAGAAGTGAAAATGTAATAGCTTGTGTAGGTTATTCTCCATGTTATTGGTTTTGAATTTAAAATGAGTGTGGGTTTGTTTTGGAAAATGTAGAATACGTACTAGGTAAATGACTACGTAAGTCATATTTAAATCATTTTCTAAAAGGACATTACGGAAATCTCAAATAGTTTTAGCTACTGGTTATTTGGAACTTATTTTATATCTCATTATTTAGTATTCTGTTAATTGCCACGTAAAAATATTGGAGACAAAGTAATATTTTCTTACTATGTATCACTTGATTCTTCTGTTACGTATAATCATTTTATTTTATATTTCCAAATTAATAGTATTTCGAGATTATCATTCAGGCCTTCTGAGATATCTATCAAAATTATGCTTTGTACTTAATACTTCAAAATATTTCATAATAAACCAGTAAATTACATTTACGTAATGGAGATTATGTTTGTATCATTAGTATGTAATAATAATAATTTCCTTTTTATTAATTTATCTTAATTTCTGGTTTATTATTAAATAATTCAAATTGTCAAGGCAAAATGTAAAGATGATAGAAGTTTCTAACGATGGTCTGAATGAAAAGGTACAAATTTTTATATAATATTTTTTATCAAGTCTCTAATCTACATTGTCTTACATCCCAAACAAAACGAAGGTAACAAATATATTTATTTCGTTCAAAACAATGCTAAATGTATTTTTTTCTTGCCTAAAAAAATTCTTCGAGTAGCGTTGATAAAAGTTAATAAATTTCATACGAATCGGGTATTTTATTAAGCAGTTATTTAACGTCAAACTTCGATTTCAGGTCTAAATGAGGAGTGATTCGACATAAGGGCCTATCTGTCGAATCCTGTTTCAAGATATTCAAAGTTGAAACTTTCTTTCGTTTATTGTTCCTCGACATTGACGATAAAGTCTATGCAACCGATACTGTATAAACTTCAGTTTTTATATAGAATAAAATGGCAGTAAAAGAAACGATTACTTTATTTTCGTTAGAAGATGCTAAACCGTAAAAGAAATCATTTTAGGCGCCCTTTCTCCATTACACAATGACGATAATTACATATGTACAATATGTAATTATCGTATTATTACATATAACAATAAAAGTAGATACAAGAATTATTTTTTAATATTTATTGAAAAGGAAACAGATACGAAGAAATATACATATAGTGTTCAACCGGGTAAGGGACGATTTCTCGTGAAAAATTAAATCAAAAGTTTAGAATATAATTTATTCATATGGAGCTTCGTTTTTTAGAAAATGAAGTTTAAAAATTCAACTTGACAAACATCTATAACTATTATCTGCTTTCTGCACTTTTCTGCCTCGTCCTGTCATGCTTAAAGAGTTATTCAATTTATTAGAGAACGTACCTCTAACTACTGTACAAAATTTGATTGATGGAACACCATCTTGTTCCAGTCAAAACGTAAAAAATGATGATGTCATAAGTTGGCCATCGCTATAGTTAGATCTAACGATACTCCATTTCCTCCTATGAAGGTTTATTAAATGAAGAACGCTTTCTGGAGACGTCAGAAACGCCAAGTAATTTAAAGCAAACGTTGTTGCAACCTCCAAATATTTCGAACCTTTTTCATAATAATTTAATTCTAAGTGTATGATCGTGTATCCAGCACGATGGTCGAAATTTCGAACAGTTTCTACGTTAATAAACTTGCTCGATTGACCCCAATGGCGGACGACGGTTAAAAAAAAAAGCACTGACCTCGATCGATTTCACACGTTCGAACAAAACATGGAACTTCTCTTCGCCCCCGGTACGTGAAAAGGAAAATCCATTTGCAACGTATCTTCGCAAGCATCGATCCAATCGTTGTAAAACCGCGGCGCTGGATTCTTTCGCGGCAACAAAACCCGATCCGAGTGCATCCGAGCCATCGAATGGGAAGAACCAGTCCGCGGCATGGAAACGGCTATCGAGCGGCCTTTGTGCGCGGGAACGGGCATAAAATGCGCTCGATGAACGGGACGACGGCGTGTGTCGCAGATTGTGTATAAATATCGCGAGTACGGCCTACAACGCGCTCGGTAAAGCGTCGATATCGGATGATTACGCGGTCAATTTCACCGGTGGCCCGCGACAAACCGAAGATATCCGATGACCCGGCTGCGCAAACACTGCGGCCTATGTTCGGAATTCGATTAACCCCCCGCCCTATCGAACAGGATCTATGGCTTCGAGATTTCAGGAACTTGAAACATAATTTTTACACCGGTAGCACAGCAACAAAGCTACACCGAAACCAATGTACACTGGGGAACTTTGATTATTCGGCATCATC